TATTTTAAATCCGTACCGGGTTTAAAATATATTCGGACAACGTGCGTAACTCACGTGCATAAAAAGGATAAAATTTCAAACCGGTCAACAGTTAGTATGTAAAATCCAATAAATATAAATGCCGAATAATCCAGTTATTCAAGCACGAAGTACTCATAACTACGGTACAATAATGTTCTAATTCTAGTAAAGCGCTATCGCGCTTTACAAGTATTAGAACACTATTGTACCTTACCGTTATTTGCCAGATGGTTTGACTGGTCGAATTTTAAGCATCGAAGGTGCTTAAATCGACCAATCAAATAGCATACAGTAAATAACTCAGTTATTGGGCACTTCGTGCCCAATAACTATTAAATATTTGCTAAAAAATATCTATAGCAGTTTAATATGCTTGAAAATATAAGTCCCCGCTTGAAAACTACATTTTACTGTAATCGAAGTAAATCGCAGTAAATCACAGTAAACCACATACTTTCTGTGATTTGCTTCGATCACAGCAAATCACAAAATCCACACGTCCCTGCTTCTCGATCGTATTACGTTACACTAAGCTGTGATTAATTGGCTAATCTGATGTAAAAGATTTTACGGCTTAAAGCGGAGCGAATTCAACATAAATTGCATTCTTGATATCTATATAACCCACAACTATAATAGCATCAAGAAGGTAACCCTAAACCTCGCTCCGCTTTAACGCAAATATGGGGCAGGGACCGTCAAAAATTTTTTCGAGAAATTTTTGGTGATTTTCGTGAATTTTTTAGCAGATCTTTAAAATCGACCAATCAGAATACAAAGACAATATCACGTTACACCTGATTTCATATTCTGATTGGATCAGATCATGCTATGACTATGCGGCCTGACTTGGTTCTTTTCACTTTTTTGGCGAATACCTTTTTTTTCATACGTAATACATATTGTTATTAGAAAATTACTTAATTTACACCAGGTGTATATACACACATATTACAGTACTAATTTATTGATTTACGAATTTGTTTAATATATAAATTGTAAACAAAAAACTTTAGGGTTAGAGGAGGTTATAGTTTATACTAAAATTTTGCAAAGAATCTTTTTTGTTAGAACCCTGAAGTGTGTTTTATAATCAAAATTTCGAAATATCAATATATGTGTGTATATACACATGGTGTACAAATAGCATTCGTCTTGTTATTAAATACAAAAATAAAATTATAAAACCTCCAGAATCAGATTTACCTTTTTTTTTACTAAGTTGTATAAAAATGGATGCCGCAAAGTTATACTTCAATCCCAGGCACAGGAATTTTGATGCAATTCGAATTGTAATGTGACAAAAGAATAAAATATAATTGAAATTTATCGCAATATTTGCAAAAATAATCGAAATTTATCAAAATATTTGCAAAAATAATCGGAATTTATCGAAATATTTGCAAAAAATAATCGAAATGTCCGAAATAATATTTGACTGTCCCTGATATGGGGTCGTCTTAGGGTGTCCAGGATTATGCGGTGCGATGGGGTAAATTATGTGAAATATTTAAATAGATTATGCAATTTTTATAGTATTATGTTTATTATACTATCTTCACAGCATGGTGGACAAACCGATATTCAACGGTGGCTTAGCATAATAAAAAAACTACGCTGACGAGCTAAGGTTATAGATTTTATACTTTATATATAAGAATATATAGTATTAGAGATCGTCGTAAAACGACAGGGTATATGGTAAGATACAAAAGTTGTACGTCAAATTAAAATATGCGTCAAATCAAAATAATTATAATGCCACTAATACCTACCCTTACCCTAACATAGAGCTTCACACTAACTCGAATGAAACTCAGTATTGAAATTCGAATACAAATATGTTACGCAGAATCACCCTAAAAGTGAAAAAATATTTCCGAATATTTCTCTATATTTTTTCAACATGATCGACAAAATCTAGACAAGCCGAATAATCTCCCATGATTTAATGTTATAAATTGCAACATTTATGGACAAAATACGGAATATAAAACATGGATCGACTTTTTTTATAGGGATAGTAGGTTAGTGCCGCATTGACTCTTCCAGCTGTATATTAGTAACTTGCTACGTAGCATGATCGTATTTAAGATCGTAACCACATTGATTGATTTGATTGATGAAAGTAATCGTCCAGCAGTCATGTTGTAATCAACTGTTTTCTTTTTTAGGTTTTCGTTCCTGGTTTTGTGCGATAACGTCGCGCAACTATCTAGTTTTGTAAATTACTATAGTAAAAAAAACTTTTTAAAAAAATGTGATAGTGATAGTACTATGATTGTGATTATATAGAAGCGTTTTTAATATCAAAAAAGGAGTACCCTTTTTGTCAGGAAAATTCCGAGCTGCTGACCAAAAAAATATGGGTCCGTAGTATCTCTAAAATTCCCTATATATTTAACATTAAAAATTGTGTCCTGTATGTAAAATTTCATGCTAAATACTTACTTAAAGGTCGGAAGTTAGTTGTCATAATAATTTTTTTTTATTTTACATGTTTTTCGCGTTTGTTTTGTTATGTGATTATATGGTGTTTGTGATTATATAGTAGGTATAACTGTATAATGATAAATCATTTTTAAGTGTATAGGTTGGTACGTAAGTTAAAATTATTGGTAACTTTGTAAAAAAAGAGGATGCATTATGCCTTAGATAATTAGAAAAAAATTTAATGGTTAATATTTATTTTTTTTGTTAATACGGTAATTATTTTTTTTTATGAGTAGTTTCTTTTAATATGTAATTTTATACTGCCAAAATTTATTATTAATTCAATACAAAGCATTTAATTCTGAAAATGTTCTCTCCACTTTTTCCCTTTAAAATATACAATTACTATACAGAAAGTGCACAAAAAAATAAGCACAGCCAAAAGAAAATACAATAATCCGGTGCCCAACGCGTCTTCAAGTGGTATCGAAGCAATAGCCGTTATTGCAGCAGCCATATATCTGAAAAGATTGTTTACTGCTATAGCTGAAGCACTTTGACCAGGAAAAGCGTCGATTAAGTATGTCGACATACAATTAAATACTATTAATGTACCAAATCCGACTACAATTAAAAAAAAAAAAGAAAAAAAAATTTAAATTTAGATATAAAAAGAGTGGAAATAATATAAAAGTGACATACAAAAAAACATTGATGATATAGGGAAAACAATATGAGCATTCTTCACAATCAGACATCCGTAGGCTAAAATAGAAACTGGAACTAACGCGGAACCAAACCAAACACTGTTTATTCTCATTTCTGGATAAATATCACCATATTTCGCACTAATTTTAGATAATAAGAAATCCGAATAACACCCAGAGGTCATACTTCCCAATAAGTATCCAAGACCAGGAGAAAGAAGCACAAGACCGATGTTAGAAGTGGACAGATTAAATTTCGAAGAAAAAGTTCTTGGAACGAGGGTATTCTGGATATATATCACAGAAAAAATAATACTTATGTAAAATACAGTCAATGATAAGTTTGGATAACGAAGTAAAGCAAGTGGAGAGAAAGGATTAAAACGCTTTTTAGGAGATGGAACAGTGGGATGTAACAGCTGAACGTGACGAAAAGTTTCGGGAAGAGCAAAGTAGATGAGGACTAAAATGATACCGCCATATAATGACAGAAACCAAAAGATAAATCTCCAACCAAGGTATTGAGCTATATAACCGCCCATGGACGGACCGATAACCGGACCTATTAAAGGGCCCAAATAGAACCATCCAAAAGCGCGTCCACGTTCTGGATGAATTACGACTAATTAATACATTGCTAATAATTGAGGTAGAGGTCGAATATCCATCATAACTATTCAGTAAATATTTGCGGGTTTTGGATGTTTGTGAATAGCATTGAACGAATATCCGGATTTTGAATGGGTACCAATGTTATTATTTGTAACCGCGAATATACACGGTGAATTTCGCGTAACCAATATTGGATATTCAATGAATATGGCCTCTAAATTGAGATGACGTAAATCATGTGAAGGCAATATAATTTACCTGTATTAATATATACATCACTAATAGTTCCAGCACCAATACTATGGACGGAAGAACCACCACAAGCTTGAAAAGAACGCATAACTAACAACAGCCAAATATTATTTGATACAGCACATATTATTCCAGAAATGACGTATATTGTAAGGGACACTAAGTAGACCCTTCGCCTTGTTTCACGAACATCGGAATATGAGGCCCACCCAAGTGGCTGCAAACAAATTATGCGTTGGACATTTGTTACATAACATAAACATTACAAAAAAAGAAGTAGAAGACATACTGCAATACCCAAGAAAAAAATGAAAACAGCGACTGGATAATTGATACGAACAAAACAATCAAGTTGTTAACCCATGTTGTTAAATTAACGTCAGTGATTGGGACTCGTCAACTCATGACTCGAATAGCAAGTAGCTTAGTGGTGGCGAACAAGAGCGCAATCACGTGATATTTGCCCAATAATATTTCAAGATCAGGTGTAACGTAGCACAAACAGGAAAATTCAAAACAAACGTTCGTTTTTCCAAAAACCGCCAATAACTCAAAATTTTGCTTATGAAACCGTCTTTGGTGTCTTAATAAAAAAATTTTCTTGCAAAATTTTACATTTAATACGGTCTTTAAGCACCTTAGTGCTAAACGATACATACTCTAAAGAAAGATTTTATAATTTTAATACTTCGTTGTTTTGATTTTACGTTACACCTGATCTTGTAATGTGATTGGTCAGAAATCATGTGATTGCGCTCTCCCATTCGCCACCACTAAGTTACTATCGAATAGCTTGCATAATTCAAATTTTTCAGGTAATTTTTTTTTTAACTGGCAAGTCATGATAACGTCAGTATATTACACAATTGTTACACATATTATATAGTAAACTTGCATTTGCTAAAAGAGAAATGCATTTGCTTTTATGAATGGTAATTTAAGACTCGCAAATTAACTAGATGAGTACTCTGAACTTCATAAATCACAAGTTGATACGATTAGGGATGGTAAAAAAATGATTTCATTATATTTAACTCCTTTTTTTGCCATCACTAGATACTACAGACAGTGCTTATGGACAATGCAAATTCACGTAATTCATGTGATATTGTTAAAGCCCATCTACTCTAAGTGTTAATCAACCAATTACATGAATTGCACTGTCCCTAAAGCACTGTCTGTAGAATTTTCGCCCAATTATCACATTAAATCACACGAGCAAAATTATTTTACTTGCTTATAGCATTGGAAAGAACATGAGAAGCATTTAAATCAGCCCCAATTTCGATAACAACGGGCAAAAAAATCCTAGACAGAAAAATCATATTTTAAATTTAAAAATACGGATTCAAAATAAAAAAAAGCTTCAGACTCTCACGTGCTAGAAATGGGGGCGATCAATCCTGTCGTAGAGATAATGAATAAGATGAAATTTTTTTTCCTTTTCGTCCAATTTATTGGATCACTTGATGTAGTATTTTCAGTCTCACATACTTGATCCGATTTTTCTGATTTTATATATTCCAACGAAGGATCATTTTTGCCATATTCCAACGAAGGATCATTTTTGCCATATTCCAACGAAGGATCATTTTTGTCATATTCCAACGAAGGATCATTTCTGTCATATTCCAACGAAGGATCCGTTTTGATATCACGTGGTTGATTATTTTCGATAGTAGCCATTATATTTGACTCTAAAAAAATTATGTTTTAATAGAGGACTTATGCGGCTCTATAAATACCGTTTTTTTAACCAAATCAATAGACTATTTTTGTAATACTCTAAATGAATTTGAATTATATAAGATCCTCTGTTTCCCACACCAAAATTTTCAACTATGATCTTCAAATAACGAGTGCACACCTAGTATTTGTACGTACGTACGTACGTACGTATACACATCTCATTAACTGTTAATAATCCTCAGTGTGACATTTAGTACAGTATTTACTAAGATACACCAATACTATCCACATCAACAATTACATCATTTTACCGATATCGGTGTATATAAATTCACATGACTTAATACATTTGTAAAATTACGAAAAAATATGTAAAGATTACAAGTAATTTCACTTACTATTGGTGAGCAGAGGTCTTTTTCGATTTTTAACAGTTCCCTATCTTGTTTAGTGCGTCTAGTGTAAACCAGGTTTGCGTTGCGGATACAAAGTAAAATTTTTAATTATATTTTAATTGGGTATTCAAACGCAGGAAGAAGCTCTCCTTATGCAAACCTGGATTATACTCGACGCGCTAAAGGTAAGGCAGCTGTTAAAAATCGAAAAAGTCCTCTGCTCTATCGGTGAATTGAAATTAATTTCACCGGCATCCTCAAGTACGTACACATAAATACTTATCGTGAAATTTATATTTTTCAAGCTCACGAAGTATATCGTGATTTGTAATTTGTCATAACTGTGAAACTATAGTAAATTACAGCATTATTCAGGCCTACCGAAAAATCAATTATTATCATACATACAATTAAAATCAATTATTATCATACATACAATTAAAATCAATTATTATCATACATACAATTAAAATCAATTAAATTATCATAAAATTAATTGAAACCCAATTAATGATGAAATAATTGCAATTAATTGCAATTAAAAGTAATTTTCTTTCATTATACCGCCTAGAGCGCTGCATACAGTACTCAGTGTGTAGAGATGGGCAAAGTCAGTTACATATTATTACTTAATATTTAATAGTTATCAGGTAGAATGTAGATGATATTGGGTCAGCGTCATTTAGTGGCCATTTGTTAGCTCTAGAGCTTGGATCCGGTTATCCGTTGGATGCAAATTTAATAGTAAAATCCGTCGGATATCCGTTAAATTTAATATGAAAACGGATGACCGGATCCAAGCTCTAGTTAGCTCAGATCATGCCGCGACTAAATGATGCTGACACAATGTTACCTACATTCTACCTGATAACGATATTATCCGGGAGTGGTCATTGATCATGTTACTCATATTAATTATGTAAATTATTGTTATTTCATATAAAGATTAGTTTATTGATTATATGGTTTCTTGGGGCTTTTTCTTTTCTTATTCTTTTCTCCCCTTTTCTTTTTCTTTCTTTTCTTTTCTTTTTTTTTTTTTTTTTTTTACTCGGAGACTTTTTTGACATGGATTAAAACAATCGTTAATATAAAGCATCAAAAAAACAAAAAAAAGACATATCCAAAAAAGGAAATATTAAGATTCCGAAGTGATACGTGTACGTACCGGTAGCATTAATATGGGTAACATGATCAATACGTAGTAACTATGTACGTACGTACCGGATACGTAATACTTAATACTGTAATATGGTATTATTAAGTAATTTTACAATAATTTATTAATAACACCTTTTCGTTCAATCTCAATTTTGATCACCTGTCTCCGACTTTTATCATATGGGGTCTTTGCCTTGAAAATCACCTTCCGACATTTCTAATCGGGTTAATTCGGACAAAAATAAACCCGAGTACCGGTTCATGTTCATACGTATGTTACAACTGTTATCATTATCCCTGGGACATATAGGATAACTTTCTTCTGATTGGTCAATCGCTTTCAATTGTATTTATACAGTTTAAAGTACTTTTTAAGAAT